TTTTTGAAGCTGAGCGAGTTTAAGAAGGTCGATTCCTTGGAAACTGTTCAAGGAGCTAATTCGAGACAAGGCGTCTGCGACTACATTGTTAGCTCCAGAAATGTGTTGTATGTCTGAAGTAAACTGCGAAATGTAGTCGAGTTGTCGAGACTCTCGCGGTGAGTACTTGTCTGAAAATGAACTTAAGGAGAAGGTAAGAGGTTTGTGATCGGTAAAAAGCGTGAATTCTCTTCCTTCGATGGAATGTTGGAAATGCCGTACAGCACAATACATAGCTAGGAGTTCCCTACCGAACGTGCTGTACCTAGATTCAGCGTCTAGCAACCGTCTCGAAAAAAATCCTAAAGGTTGCCACGAGTTGTTAACCCATTGTTGTAAGACTCCTCTGATTGCTGAGTCGGATGCGTCTACGGCGATACTAATGGGCGCTTGACTGTCCTGATGAGCAAGCAAGGTTGCTTTAGCGATGTGTTCCTTAACTGTGGAAAATGCTTTACGGGCTATGTCGTCTAAACTGATTGATTTCGCATTTCCACTAAGCTGATCGGTTAACGGTTTCATATGGGATGCGCATTTAGGTATGAACCGTCTATAGAAACTTACGAGTCCGTTAAAAGTTCGTAACTGCTTGATAGATGTCGGTTCTGGGTAATCCAGAATGGCCGCCACTTTGCTCCTAAGGGGTTGGATGCCTTGAGCATCAATAGTGTGTCCTAAGAAGTCTAAGGAGTTGGTTTCGATTTGGCATTTCTGAATGTTGACAGTAATGCCATGCCTTTGGAGTCGATCTAAAACAATGTCCAGATGCTTGAGATGCGATTCTCTGTCCGGACTTGCTATTATACAGTCATCAACATACGTATGTACGAAGTTGAGACCTCGGAAGACGTCGTCTATAAACTTTGGAAGGTTTGAGCCGCGTTTCTTAAACCAAAAGGCATTCGCAAGAATTCGTTAAGACCGAAGGGAGTGATGATGGCGGTTTTAGGAACGTCGTCAGGTGCCATCCTTTCTACTCTCCCTTTCAGCATCCTCGTGACGGGCCACCGAAAACACATATGGAGCATATGACTTCGTCCTGCTCCATCAATAATGCATCAGATGTTCTACAAGTATGTAAAGGCTGTGATTTCCAGAAGCTTTCAACTTGACGTAGATCCATTTTCAACCATCAATTGCACGTTACAACTCAACCGCCAACCGTCATACTAAAAATTCGAGTATTAATAACAATATTAGTATTCATATGTGGGAAATGCTTTCCTCCTAATTTTATGGCCAATGTGCCTTATAACATATCAACCAAACTGATTAACTTATTATATTGAAGCCTGTATAATTTGCAGCAATTTTATCTCACCTGTAAACTGGCATGCCTCATGTAAGGTACTGTAATTCGAGAATAAATTATTATCACATCTGCGTTTTCGAAGAAGCCGAAAATGGTTTCTTCACAACACATATACCAATTAGCTGTTTGTGAACATTAATAATAATATTGAGGAAACTAGGTGAATTTATAGTGACGCTGGCTAATACTAATGGTAAATTCGCTGTAGACATTCTAGGGTTGCTGTCTGTCCCAAGTTCGAATAAGGATGAAAAGTTGGGCATAGGACCAGTAACCCGATCCTGTCGAAAATCCCTGCTAAAAACACCTTACCGAAAACTTAATGCCTGCAGTCACTGTCAAATCCTGAATATCAGGTAGGTTAGCGATTAGGATGCCTCAACATTGGCTTTCGGGAGTTGAGTAAACCTTTTTCATAGATATATAAAAACTCTCGTCTAAATAAGAGCGAATAGTTTCACAGTATTTGAGCGCCGAGTTGATGTAGGACATTATATAAGAATAATATATATTTGTAAAATCTCAGCAAATGAATTTGTAGTAAATCCAACGTTTCGCCTGGCAATCTGGTCCAAGCTTTTTCAAGGAATTATAATCAAACATCAAAATTATTGAATATAAATAGGAACATGATTCTCCGGGTTCATTGTACATTGAATAAGTCATCCAATCAACGTTAACAATGTCTAAACTAGGTATGTGTATTAGTGTGTAAGAGGTGTGTGATGTGAAATGATGTGTTCATATAACATATTGTATAGAAAACGTAAAAGGTGAGAGGAGAAATTACATTCACATTAGATATTGTCTCTTATCGGTGAATTTATAAGGAAACATACAATTTGTAATATATGATATGAATCATATCTGTCACAGCATGTATAAAATGAAGATAAATAAACAAAATAAAAAAAGTAAGATTTGATGAGTGTAATTTTTTTTTAAAAAACTGTATGTATGTGTCATTTTTAATGTTCCAGTGAATTGTTAAACAAATTCCGATAAGACAACTGATTAGAATCATCGAATGCAATTGTTGTCATTTAGATAATACGAAATAGATAAAAACGTTAAGGGGTTCAGGTTTTACTTGTTATTGATTAGTTAATCTGAATTGCTTCGAGGAGATTCCGAGAAGTGGGCTTCTGTTGGAGTTGGTTAATTTGGGAACCTCTTGACATCCGCTTAAGCGATCTGAACAATTTCCAGCCGACCACCGACAGAGCTTACAAAAATTTTTAAAATTTCTCACCTGGAAACCAGCACTTGACGGGATACTGCAGACTTTATACTAGGTTTATTGTTGTTGATTGTCTATACAATGAACTTGCATTCAATGTAAAATAGTGTGCGATTTAACACTGACCTTAAAATATGAGGGAAAAGATCGGATGATATATATATATGGTGCACTCGTAGCCGAAATCGACGTTTCGCTAGGCTGTTATCACGTATGGTTAACTTCTATCGACATGTCTGGTTGCAACTCTATACGCGAATGGCGCTCTAGAGGTCAAATGAGCATCCTCACCATTAGCCTTAAAAGTGTAAAATCTGGAATTTGAGCATGTACAGAATACTTATGTCAATGGTATTTTCAGTAACTTTCTTTTGAGTTCAAATAGAACATGAAGAGCTCATTGCCTAATGATTTTCTTAAGATATAGTAAAATGAACTGCGCCTGTAGGCTACTGCCGGTCCCAAGAACGGATAAGGGAGGAGAGTTGGCCATGGGGTTAGCGACCCCATCCTGTAGAAAACTAATCCGCTAAGGAAACGCCAACCAGGAAATGTAAGTTAGTAATAGTAAAAAGAATAATGGGGTACTATCAGAATTAAAATATACCTGATACACCTGGATAAAGTGTGCAATCGTCCGTAGTATAAGAACCATCCAGAAATTCAGGAAATATTTAATTAATCACGGATCATCAGCGCTGAAGTTTCCTAACGAACGAGAGAAATGTTTCAGCATCAATGAGATAGAACAAAAATAATCAATTCAGTCAGAAACATCCTATGTAGGGTATTCCAATATAGCAGCTATGTAAGTGCGGTGTTAGGTTTAAAGCCCGAAAAATTTATAAAAACTCAACATCATGGACTTAATTAAATTCAGAATCCATGACGTGGTAGCTTCAGCACAAATGGAAAATATGAACGTACCATGTGTAAGTACATGGGAAAATAGAAGAGACATTAAATACTATAAGGAACAAAGAAACGATGCCATATGGAATGGATACATGGGATATTTTCACATACATTTCGTCACATATGTACAAGAAAACTCTTGTACGAAGAAATGTTGGTCAAAGTGAGTCTCTAACTTATGATCACTACTGACAGCTGTTTTGCAGTGGCCAAACTTTTAAGAACAGTTTGAATGTCTAGGTGAACAGATCACTTAAAATGAGTACAACGGGCCCTGTAGATCATCAATGTAGGTGGTGTGTCGGTGACTGGAGTCCTACTCGAGTTAGACGGGAATGGTGTAACCAACCAGCTAACGTGAAAATCAAACCTTGCGGTTAATACTAACATTAACTATTCATTCGTCGTATCCAGGTACCGTGGCTACCTTGATGTCTGTATAGTATAAACAGCGCTATTGCAGAAATGTATTGATTAGAAAGGATACAGGAAAAAGAGTGCGTCCACTGGTGTATGTGTTTGCTCATGGTACACAAGTGATTGTTGTACTTCAGTTACCACTGACTTTGAAAAGGATGGGTTAACTGCCCGATATTCAGAGATCTGGCTGACGAATGGTTCGGATATGGTCCAGTGATGTTATAATTACCCTACAATATTCACTTGCGCAGTTCATAAGATTATTGGCTAATCTAGTGACAGGAAGTTTGATAAATTATACTTCTTCACAATATCTTACCATAGATTAGAAGATGAATTTATTGTAGCCTACGTTAAGTGCACGAGAGCTAGCCAATAAGATTCTAAATAGTTTGCCATCTACAATATGCCGCAAACCCACAAATTTTTTGAATCTTAGATCGTCCTTTCCTCCCGGCAAGAAGGCACAAGTAAGGAGGCATGATGGATTATATGAGTAACCGGGAGTAGGTTAAACTAAAATAACACGGGGTTTTCCGTTCAGTAATCAGAACTTGGAACCAACTTTAGGAAAAAGTAGTACTATCTTTTGCTATTTGCTCACCGAACAAGATGGTAGAGACTAACAAAATCCCATTTTAATAGAACTAACACACTCCGTTAATGCAAAGTCCCCAAATGATTGTGAAAGGGTCTCGACCAAAATTATCTAGATAATCCTTCGTTAATTTATAGAGTAGGGGTCTAACCCCAGTATATTATACACATCATGGCATCAAGAGTTTGGTTAGGTTGAGTCTAATCTGAAGGCATTTTGCGTTCAGGGGGAAGTGAAAAGAGTAATGTTTGAGAAAGAATACAAAGAAAAATGAGACGACCGCTAATTAATCACATAGAATGTACGTACATGAATTGGAGAAAGCGATATACGACAATTATTATTGGAGTAAGCATAACAACAAGACAGTCTGATAGTCAAACTATAAGTGGATAGCTATTTCGAATATGCTACAATAATTCTCTAGGTCATAACTTCTGGACTGAATACCGACCATTTGAAACTGACCAATCGTAATGAGCCGTAAGTTTCAATAATTATTAAACGTTATCATTTAAAGCTCATTCGGATGATGATGATTTTCCTGCAAAAGAAGAGGATGAAGTGTCCATTCCTCGGGCTTCGCTTAATAAGTTTGTCAAGGAAGTATTGCCAGATGCGCGGCTAACTACAGAAACTCGTGATCTTCTCCTAAACTGCTGTCATTGTTTTATTCACAAATTGGCTACGGAAGCTAATATTGCATGTTCTAAAGCTAATAAAAAGACAATCAGTCCGCAGCATATACTTGAGGGTGAGAAGTACATAACCAGACTTCATCGTACATTTCAGGTCTGGATGCCATGAACTTATCTTCTTATAAAGAACATGCTGAGGTGGCTTGTCAGGAAGCTAAAGAAGAAATCAAAGGTCGAAAAATGCTTAGTGCTAGTTATCGGTTTAAACACCAGGACAGTGAAGAGTTGGAAAGACTGGCTAAAGAACAACAAGAGATTTTCGAACAGGTATGGGTTTCTGGTGTGTCTTCCTTGTTTATGTTCACAAAGATTGTGTAGTAAAAGGTTTGGCTTGCGCTTGTTGTGATGTTTTCTGTTCGATGTAACAATATCGTCAAGTTCTCAGGATCACTCGTATATTCTATCGCCTTCAGTCACTCAATTAAGAACCTGACACATATGCGTCAGTTGAAGTTGCTACTACGCTAGTACCGTAGTTCATCCATACTTCCACAAAACCTGTCTCGTAAAAGGATAGACGAATTTTACTCAAAACCAACTTACATTTATCTAGTCCATGTTTTGTACTAATGTCCTTTAATGTTATCGAGCTTTGAAAAATCGGACGTTTAAACCAAGATCTCGTTGTTGGTGTTGCTCTGATTCAAAAGAGTGCGTCAAGTCTTCAACAGGGGAGTAGGTTAAGATTTTATTAGCCCCTTAATACTATGCCTGTGTATTTATCCTTTTAAATGAGTTAATCAAAGGCATGAAGAGCGCTTATTTCGGAAGTAGCTTTAGGAGTTAGTTGCTCAATGATAAAGCCTATAATTTATGGACGTCAAATCGTTTCTTGGTCCTCTTACTTTTCACGCTTCCCTAACCTGAGCGTAAGAAAAGAGCGAATATTACCAGGTCTAAATTCATATCCTAGTTACCTGGGACTTCAGGCATTTGAGTCGTCCTCCACACAGCTGCTTTTGTTCTTTACATCTCTTTCCAGTCTCGCTTTTATAAAATCTGTAAATATGGTAGAATGGCTTTTGTTTAGCTTCATAAATTCCATTTTAACATCGATACTATTCTGAAATCTTTAGACGTAATCAGATAAAAGTAATCATTGGTCTGCATGTCTGACTTTTATGTCCTTTTCACTGAAAACTGACAGCGGAAATGTTTTTGAAAATCGCACTTACACCATTTATGTGCCCGATGTAAGTGGGGATACATTTGGTTGCATTAGATACGTGATATTATCTGCTCGCTCGTTTACATAGAGAACAAATGGATTTACTCTGGTAGTTGAGCCAACTATTAGACTTGGAGTTTTGTAATCCACATCAGTTTATATCAACATGGAAGTCGCACACATTAATTAGCCTCATGTCATTTAGCCTTGTTAATTGCATATATCTTTGATTGTTCTTATACGGAACTTAAGTTCCATGATATTCGATACCTGATGTTGCGGAGATTTGTAGCTCAGGTGGATGATCATATGTGGAGAAGAAGGATGAAATCTCCACGACCAAACCATCCAGCCCAGAGAACAAAATAGTGCCTGTGAAAGGGATATTGAAGTCTGCCTAACCAAATTATATGAAATCAACGGGAAAGCAAATGACAGTTTGGTACAAAGTAGTAGCAAGTTAACTATTTTTTTTAGCCTACATCACCTAACAAGATTTCTACCTGAGAGTGCTCCATGTGAATAAGTATTTTTATATCAAGAACACTCATTTGCGCAGTTTGTCAGATTTCCTTTTATAAAACTAGATCATGAGATAATTGTTCTCAAGTGTTATTTAGGGAATTATGTTTGTATAATGAAGTCCTTAATATGTCTGTCACTGACTAACCAATCCAGATCAACCTTATTAAAGAGTTCTTTGCAAGTAGCAGTACATATATTCATTAGGACTTATTGGTTATACTAATCGTGCCCCAACCAACTGTTCTGGATCGTTAAATTTATTTGTATATTCACACTTCGACAGGTTTGGGAATGCTCTTATTTTTGGAGTTTAGATGTTCCCTTAGATACCAAGTTACTGATGAATTTGCAGAACTCGATATCCAATTTCATTTTCAATTAAAAATGAATTCGTTGTATTCCGTGACTGGTCATAACTCACGGTGATCAGTTTATATTTTTAACGATTAATTTTTACTTCTTTTAAAGGCTAGGGCTGATTTCATTGGGGAACGGTTAGACAGAGAAGACTTGTTGGCAGCTTCAAATTGTGCTGCATCAGACCTTAGTAACTACATGACCGGACATGGATCATCACAATCTTCTAATTATCCAGATGCTAACTCTGGAGATATCAATACAGCAACTGAATCATCTACTTTGCCTACAGCTACTGGATCCGGACGAATTTTGGGCTCTTCAGTCATTGGAGATGACGATAATTATGACGAGTAACTATCCTACTGATCTGTTTTCACCGTGTCTGTAAATTAAAGTGATAATATTACTTATTGTATAGATTATTGTTGTCACATATTTTGTTTTATGCGAATTGTAATGCTGATCAAGTTATCAGTCTGTATTAATCAGGGTTAAAAACCGACTTTATAGCTCTGTATACTGATATTTTTATAAACATACGAAATCGAAATACTTGACTGTTACAGATTTCGAAGCAACCAACTCCACCTGTTGCCCTTATAGGGCTACTGCCGGTTTCAAGCCCACACAAAGAAGGAGGGTTAGGTGTGGCCCCAGTGTATATATCCCACAGAAAACAACCTTGCTAAAAAACGCTGACCAGAATAAACAAATTTAACCATTTAAACTCTGCTCTGTGAGTTATGACGCTCCACAAGGCCGATGCCCCTTCTAACAACTAGAGTAACAACTTATACAGGTACATGGAATATTCGGACAATTTGGGACACTGGGAAGACCAATCAAGTAACTGCGTTAATAAGGAGATACAACTTGACAGTGCTTGAAATCAGTGAAACCCATTGAATCTAAGCTGGACAGAAAAGGATGGATTCGGGAGGGGTGCTGCTGTTCTCTGCTCACGAAGAAGAAAATGCTCCACACACTCACAGAGTTGCTCTGATGCTATCCAAAGAAGCACCGAAAGCACTTATAGGATGGGAATATCATTGACCCAGGATCATCAAAGCATCTTTCAAGACAAAGGAGGGAATTACAATGAGCGTTATGCACCCACTAATGATAGTAATGATGACAATAAAGATCAGTTCTATGAGAAAGTGCAACCAATCATAAAGAAGTGTCCATAAAACGATCTGGCAATCCTGATAGGAAACTTAAACGCCAAATTCAGAATGGACAGTACTGAGTTGATGTGTGGGCGAGAATGATAATGATTGGTTGTCTCGATGAGTCAGACATTAGACAGGATGACAGGTGTTATGTGTTATATATATATTCCCCTGTCCTTATTATGTATTGACTGTTCCTTGTTGATGGACACTTATTGATTGACTGTTCTTTGTGTCGGATTTTCGTGTGGAAATATATTAACGTTATAGTCAGGCTAACCTCGTGTTCTTGATCTGAGTTCTGTTGAAGTCCTGTAGAATAGACACTGGGTGGGAATCTAGTGTAGATATTCGTCTAAGATAAATTAACGTCCCACATACGTGTAAGAAGTAAAAGGACTGTTATAACAAGAACCCCTACTGTTATAACCAGCATCCTCTCCTTTACGTTTATAACAATTAGCGACGGCATACTTACGTTTATAACATGGGTATGAAAATATCATGGGACAGCATGGACTGACTGGGATAAAGAAACGAGAATGGGGAGAGATTCGCGAATTTATGTTCATTTAACAAACTGGTTATAGGCGGCACAATATCCTCACACAAATGCATATACTAAGCTACATGATCTCATTGGATCACACTACACAGAACCAGATCGATCAAATTCGCATCACTAAAAAATTCAGGAGGCCAATGGAATACTTGAGGACCAGGAGAAGAACTGACAGAGTTTCAAATCACCACTAACTGGTGGTTGCCAAGATGAAACTGAAGCTGAAAAAACACTGGACAAGTGGGAAACAGCATGAAAAAGGTTCAATACAGCCTTCCTTCGACATACTGACAAACTCAACGAATTCAAGACAACTCTTAACAACAGGTTCCAATCCTTACAAGATTTACTCAAAGAAGAAACTACTTGGAGGACAACTGGAAAGGGATCAAAGAAGCATTAACTTTAATGTGTCAGGTGCTGGGCCGCAAGAAGCATTATCATAAGGAATGGATCTCTATGGGAACCCTGGACAAGTATGGAGAAAGGAAAAACAAGAAGACAGCAATTAACAATAATCGGACAGGAACAGAGAAAGTCAAGATACGAGCTGAATACACAGAAGTAAGCAAGCAAGTGAGGAAGAGCATTGAGGCTGAGAAGCAGAAATATGTGGGAGATCTAGCAACGATAGTGGAAAAAGCTGCAAGAGAGGGAAATGTGACAGAAGGGGATCTGAGCAAGTGTGAGAACTACAAAGGTATCAGGAAAAGTTGTCAACTGTGTTGCTAGTTTGGATGAATGATTCAAGATACATCCAGCTTCGAGATCAACAGACCGGATTCTGTAAGGATCAGTTGTGAACAAACCAAATCGCTACACTACGGATCATTGTTGAGCAATTAACTGAATGAAACTAGTCACTATACATCAAATTCCGTGGTTGTAAGGTGTTTGACAACGTGGATAAAACTTTATGGAACCTTCTTCGACACTATAGTTTACCTGAGAAAATCGACCACATCATCCAAAAGACATAGGACGGATTATACATTACAAAGTCGTGTATGGAGGACAGCTGATAGACGCATTCCAAGTGAAGACCGGTGTCAAACAAGACTACCAGTACTCGCCTGCTCTCCTCCGGTGGTCGACTTGGTTATGAAGATCTCGACATCTGAGGGGAAGCATAGAATACAATGGACAGCTTGGTTGCAACTAGACGATTCAGACTTCACAAACGACCTAGCTCTTTTATCCCAAGCCCACACCATGAAATGCAGGTGAAGACAACTAGTGTAGCAACAGCCTCTGCATCAGTAAGCCTCAACATACACAGGGGAAAAAGTAACATCCTCAAATACAACACGAACCCAGTCACACTTGGTGGAGAAAGTTTGAAGAAGGTAGAAACTTTTACGTACCTGATCAGCATTATCATCGATGAACAAAGAGGGCTTGATGCAGACGTAAATGCAAGGATTGGCGAAGGGTAGCATCCCTACAGTGGAAGAACATATGGAACGCAAGATAACTGTTAACCAATATCGAAATCTGAATTTTCAATACGAACGTTAAGACAGTTTTACTGTATGAAGCCGAAACATGGAGAACTACTACAACTATAATCAAATATGTACAAGTATTTATAAAAAAATTTCTACGCTAGACACTCAATGTCCGTCGTCGGATACCATCAGAAACGACCTTCTGTGGCAAAGAACAAGCCAGCTTTCAGCTGTAGGAAACTAGAAAAAGACGCTGAAGGTGGACAATACATACAGTGAGATCATCAAACCTCATCACAAAGGAGGCGCTAACTTGGAATTCTGAAAGGAAATAAAAAACAGGAAGACCAAAGGACACACTGCATCGGGGACTAGAAGCAGATGTCGTAGGGATGAATATCAATTGGGATGGATTACTAAGGACAGAGTTGGATGGAGAGTGTTAGCGGGCAGCCTATACTCCTCCACGAGGGGTAAGTAAGTAATCAGCTAACTATTCTTTCTGACATCGCTATCCCCTCCAATGATAAAATAGTTCGTGCCTAAAATTTCCCAGTTATTTTTCAAATTTGTAAGTGCCGTAGAATAAGGATAAATGTGACTAAAAGCTTATTCTAAGCTGTTGCCATGAGATTTGTGTGAGGGCTATGATACTGCCCAGATGCCCAAACTGAAGCAGGCATCGATTTATTTAGTATGCAATACATCAAAACCATCATTCAGCATCATAGTTGGTCATTTATTCTTATTCTTACCCAGGATATGATTGGTTTTTCACAAGTTACGAGAATCGTACTAAAACTCTGTGGAATTCACATTCAAGTCGCTGGTGAAAACAGGCTATTAGTGGACAGTATTCAGTCGTGTAAAATTTGCCTAAAATAATATCTAAATATCTTGAAATTTACTTTATAGACCATACATCTATGTTATGGTTTGTGCACGTACGTAGAAAGGCTACACAAATCACATGATACAAGTGATACCAGTCAGTCAGCTACAACGTAGGACCTGGCACATTTATGCATCGGTCCAGGTTGCCATACCTCGTTAGCACAACAAGATGAACACCAAATTCATAGACGTAGTTAATTTAGTGGTGGTAGTATATAAAAGATAGGTTGTATATAAGGATATAGTATAGGAAAGAAGAAAGTTATGAAGCAAGTAATATGTTGTAGTTCTTTCTGTAAATAGAACGAAAACACTCGAATTGCGTTTATTTCAATGGAACTACTGGTCAAAACATTTATTACCAATCAAATAAGCCTTTGTTTTGTCTTGGCTATAGTCGCTTATACTTGCTAATGAGTTCTATGTATGTCATTATCTGAAAGACAGTTTTACATTCACAATCCCAGTTAACTTTTTTTTTTACAAATTTCAACAAGATTTGAAATAAATCTTATTATTCTAAAAAAACAGTACAAAATAACAAAACAGGAAACAAGCAATTCTATCTTAACTGATTACAGTAATATAGTAAAGTATTTAATTGTTTGTTTAAAACGATAAAACATACAAATCAGCAAACTTATACAATGGTATCTCAGGATTGTTTATGTTGAAGACATTCCAAATAAATTCATTGGAATTCCTTGTCCATCTTGCTACCACTACTATTTCTTTTTCTTCAATCAAATCTTGATGTTGTCATTGTCATTTACTTAATTTTCTCTTTATCATTCATGGGATTAATTTAAAACCATTGAGGCCGTTGTTGAATATGCTGTTCATGAAGATGTTGTAGTACAACTGGATTTACATCAGATGATGATAATAAACAGATAAGATCTGTAGGTGCTTCCGACTCTTTACGTGCTAAAGGAGCAGGTTTATCAAGTGGCAGTATTGATGAGCTTAACTACAACAGTTTAAAAAAACGTGAGAAAAAAAGACTTTAGTAATTTATATTTGACATATACAGACTACTACGAATGAGAGTAGTTTGAAAATATTTATACATTGTTTTCTGATAAAGAGGAACAAAAGCTATCTCTTTCCGTCTCTTTCTCTCTCTTCTGATATAGGTCTCATGACGAAGGTTTACTGTATAACTATGGTTATCACATATCACTATGCTAAGGAACCTAGTACTAGAAAGTTACAGTATCTGAGTCCAGAGTAAAACTAGGTAAAAATAGATGTGAATTTTTATTCTACCAGATGAAA